TCTTTATTTCCATCGTTATGTTTCTCCTTAGCTTTGTCTAAGAGTGGGAATGTCTGTGTCTTTGTTGTTTCCTTGTCCATCTTTTTTATTCAGTCTTTGTTTTCGTCGTTGTGTCTTTCCATTTGTATTTTCATTCTGCCTTCACAGATGCTTCAAACATTCAACGCCAGTTTCCCCTGTCTATTCAGGCAGTCGACCATTTTCGGTGGCGTTAAGAAGCTTCCCTAATATTTTTCTTCTAAATTCTTTGCCGAAGTAACCACCTAAGCGGCTTTGGCTCGTTAGTGTTTTCAAGAAAAAAATAAACCCCCAAAAATAGCTATTATTTTCCAAGCAAAAAAAATTTAAACTATGAATTATTTTGAAGCAATAAATAAAAATCAAAAAATAGTTGTTATTTTCTGAGCAATAAGTAAAACTCAAAAATAACTATTAAATTTGAGCTTTTTAAAAACTTAAAAACCTAAAAAATAAAACTCATTGCCGCTCATGATAGCCGTATTAACAAGAATTTATTCTAAGAAAAATTCTCTAAATTTTCGAAGTATGTTTAATTATAATTTTTGTAAGTCCGTACACATTATCGCGCATTGATTTAATAAAGATTTGTTTCACGTTCTTTATTAGCCAATCCTACTGCAACAATTTAAGCATTTAATTGATTTATTATAATGCGACAATTTTCAAAACGATTTGCCATTATTAATTGATTACTCAACCACACGAATAGGGAGGTACTAATTAGTTCATCATATTTTTACCAATTAAATTTCATAACAATTTCAAATAATTGTGGTTCTTGGTAAACTTCGAATTCAATTAATTTCTCCGAATCTATGTATGTACACCAATTTGCTAATGTCAATATGTGTATACCTACATACGTAGGTGTTTGTGTATGTATACGAGTAATATTAAATAATATGTGAGCCTCAAAATTATTATGCTATCATGCAGATAAATTTGATATAATCAAATCTTAATTGGTAATTAAATTAAAACCAAAAAAATGGCTCTGCAATACAACAATCAATGTAACGAAGAGCAACAAACATTGAATGAGCCTATATAGGATCGGTAGGTCAAAATTTATAAAACATTTACACCATAGATTTTTACATACACACAGAGAGTATTCCGAGATTACTCTTAATCGGGTACAATAGGGCATTAATTAGTCGCAACTAGTCTCATACGGGTACTAATGGAGATCAATTAGTCTCGACTCATCCTTTATGGGTATAATTGGAGATAAATTAGTCCCCAACTCATCTCTAACGGGTACTGTTAACGATTTAATAATATGTACGCACTTAGTCAATGCAATTTCATGTGCGGCGTTGGCACGCAGAGAGAGAGTATTCGCCTAACAAAACTGAGCACCTCGGTTCGAATCTCAGCTGGCGCAAATTTTTATTTTCATTTTTTAAAAGTGACTTGTCGCTTTTTATACCCGTTCGGGTATAAAGGGGAACAATTAGTCTCTTCATAGGACATGCTCGAACAAAAGCGATCAGTTCATTCCATATAAAGAGGTCAAAAGTGGTATTAGTCGCATGGTCCTTTGCAATTGCTCCCGGAGTCATCCCGGATTAGTCCAATTTTTTGCAGGGCAGTTCTTGGGATTTTGATCTTTTGATATTTTTTATGTGAAGAATATTTGAGTTCGGTAGAATGAAATTTTACCCTACTGTATCATATCCGATATCCGTTCGGATATTCGTGTATATTTTTGAAATCCGGATATCCGGTTAATATCCGTTCTATTTCGTTATCTGGATATGAACCGAATATCCGCATTTTACACCTCCGCATTTTACACCAAGCTCAAATACGGTAAATATCCATTAGTTGTGCTGTCCGGATATGCGGTGAATATCCCTTAATTTTGCTATCCGAATATTCGGATATCTACCACAGTCGCACTATCGCGGCGGTCGGCAAAGCGTACGTTTCTTTGCTGGGTGGGATATACTGCGCAATATTTAATAAAATTAAAGTAGGTGTGTGGTCAATATTTGAATATTGTTATATCATTTAGTACTATTTACATACATAAATATGTACATACATTGTCTATGATCACTTAATTAGGAACACAAATCATGTGACATTTTCTAATACAACAACTTTTAATTGATGTTGGTGTTAAGCAGTGTTTGCATTATTCAACTTTGCGTTCAACAATTGCGTTCAACTCAACGCAGGGTTGCACGAAAAAAAAGTTGAATGGCTAAATGTTGGCTGGCGACCAACTTTGTTGAAAGCGATTAGTTGAAAGGCCATTCAACCAAAAGTTGAATGCACAGTTGAACAATGCAAACACCTTTTTATGGCGAATATTTTGATATTTTTTCATATTTTGATATTTTTAGCCATTCAACTTTTTTTTCGTGCAACCCTGCGCTGAGTTGAACGCAAATATTGAACGCAAAGTTGAACAATGCAAACACACTTTTAGGTTAGCTTGAAATGGTTAAACATATGATATCGTTACCTACAGGTAAAAAGGTGCCAAGTCCGTTTTTCGAAACTGGTCTGGAGAGACGAAAACTCGATGTATTTTCGCATAATCTTGTCATTCTGCTTCGCACACTAAATTTCGAAAAAAGTGTACTTTACACCTTTTCATCTTTAGGTAGCGAAATGCAAAAAAATTGCATCAAAGTATCAAATTTTTAAATGAGAACTAAAAAGTCCGAATATGCAGTCGTACAATTTTAATGTATTGTTTGTAATGTTTGAATTATCTTAAAATTCGCATAAATTTTTGGATTTTTTTTTTTGTTTGCTGGCGTTGTTAAGCATTTTCTACCATGTAAGAACATTTCAATCATTCGTTATATGGGCGAAATTACATCTCACGGAGTTGCCATCAACCAAAAAAAAATTCAGTTCGGTTCAAACTGGATTGCAGCCCTGCATTTTACACCCGATGAACTTTGCCAAAGCGGATATTTCACCTATTAAATCTCTGCACAGCCTTGAAATAATAGTTTGCCTATCACGCGTTCTTTTCTATGGCTTAAAGTCTGTCAATGCCCTTAAAAGGTTTTTTGGTGTTGGTTAATTGGTCCGATGGGGCAGAAAAATTATTTAGAGTCTTCAAGCACCGATATAAATTGAATTCTATGTATGTACATATGTATAATGCTTGGCCATTTATTACAGACTTGTAGGGCTTCTACGAAAAACCTTTGCTGCATGAACACCACTCTCCTCTCTGAAGCTCTTTGAGCGAGTATCTGTGATGCCTTCTGCATGGCCAACACTTTCGCTTGATATGCACTACAGTGGGCGTAAAACTGAAAATATGTTTTAAGCCTCAATTCAGCTGAGAAAATTCCTTAATCGACTCTATCTTCAAGTTACACATAACTCGTATAAGCGTTTAAGGCATTGGGCAAACGGTGAGGTCTCTTGTGCTTGCGCACAGTTGCTGTTATTACAATTTTGCATTTCTTTTAAAAAGTAATAGCGAGCATGCAATAGTCGTTACCTATGGATGTGTCCTGATTGTCGCTGAAGTGTCTAGGGTAGCCGAATTTCCTGAATTTTCCAGAATCCGGAAGTATCGGCGGTAATTTTACTGATCGAATATGGCCTACATGGCTAATATATGAATTTAATTTATTTTAGTATTCTTAGTTTTCGATACCAAACTGAACCAACTTCCGAAATATCAAAGTCGCTGGTCCCTAGTGTTGCCAAGGATATGGATGCATTATTTAAGACGATTTTTTTTTGCGAACTTTAACAAATTGCCAATTCTCTGGTCTAGGGTAGTTGAGTCGGGACCTGTTTATTGCTGTTCCCTTTTCCTATTTTATGCCGTTACCAAATCTAGTTCTGTTCTTAAATAGTTGAGATAATGGCACATTTGTTCCATGTCGCCCGGTGGTAATAATACTCCTGATTTAGCCAACACATCTGCTCATTCGTTTCATCCTATTCCCTGGGGTGTTCTGGCACCCCGAATATAAGTGACCTGCTGACACAAAGTTCATCTATTCGATCTCCGCATTGTCGCAAACAAAGTGAGTTTATCATCACTGCTGCAAATGCTTTAATCACCGCCTGGGTGTCAGAGTTAGCAGAGACTAATTGATTCGGGCGTAAATTTCGGCCAGACAAATATTTCAACAGTAAGTATCCGGAACTTTCAATCTTAGCGCCGACTTTTCTTTTCAGTTTTTTTGCAACTCATCTTACTCGATACAGGTTTAAAGTGCTCCTATAATACATAGACCTGAAACTCTCTGTACACCCTTAAGGTACTTGACATACTCTTCCTTTGTAATGCCGTCCACCAAACCAAACCAAAAAAAAAACATAACTTCAGTGAGTGTGGCGGGCGGATAAGCTCTATGTCCTATCGAGAGATTTCTTGCTTCTTTCACATTTAACCTCCACGTCAGCTTACTGTTCATAATGACTCCAATATACATATTTCGTAGATGTTTTAGGAGTGGTGTAATATTTTCCAGTTTGGATTGAGGACAGGTCGGAATCTTTTACTTTTTTAAAGTCCCTCTTATCTACGTTCAACTCCAATCTCACACTCAAATCGCGTAGAATCTTATTACGAGAAAAATGTTCACATCAATGGAGAGAGAACGCCACTTTTTGTGGTGCCTCTGTTCGCCTGCCGCGGTGAGTGAATGACAAATGAGAGGACTAATGCCGATTGAATCAAGACCCTCTAAGATAGCCTTTGTAGAGACATTGTTAAGGGCTCCTGATATAATAAGGAAGCCGCCCATTTCATATTCTTCGTAATGTATTAGAGCCTTTTCTAAATATATGTAACATCACACCATGAAGAGCTGTCTTCGTGGATTTTCCCTTCTTATAAGCGTGCTTAGCCGCATGAGTAACCTCTTACATAAAGTTTGTTTGTCCTAGAAAGAAATAGTTTTTTTATATTGAACATTTTACTGATATTTTTTATGCAAATAAAATAGAAAATCATTTTTCTTAGTCGCAAGTTTGAATAAGCATTTGAGTAAAGATTACTATGTGGATGTTTATGTAGATGTTTAATTTACCCGAACCTTGAAAAGATTTTTTTTCGCCTTTGAAATTGAAGCAGGCATCCGTAACCACATGGGCCATCATCAACTCAAGCATCAAGTTTAACAAAAACGACCTGTCCGACGTAGTCAACCATGTGACAATTCAACAAAATTACCCAACCACTTAACTTTACCATTGCCAACCCCATCTGCACTATAAGGCATTACCTTTCAACACTGCGCTGCTGACAGCAATTTCACATCTTCACTGAAGGTAATTGCGCACTCGACTCCGACCGCCCACGCAATTACACTTGAAAATTCATTTCGATGCAATGGTACTCGTATTACTATCTGCAAATATGTGTGTATGTATGCATATACATAAATATATATGTATGTATATATACTACTTATGCTCGAACCCACAAGTGTCCACCTGCAGTATTTTACGTGATCTGTAAAGCTGTAAAGTCAACGCTAAATTGCTTGCTTGCTGCGGATGTGGCTACGGATGTTCTCATTGGCGCATGTGGTACATAGTGCGCCTTAATTTAGGCAACAACTATTAGTAACATTGCGCATTTGATGCGACTGCAATGCATGCAAACATAGCAATGAGGAGCGAGTGACCGACCGACCGACCCTGCGGTTGCCGACTACTAGCGAATGTAAAATGTGATTTTTGAGAAGACTGCTCCCTTCAATTTTCCATTGCTGCTCAAAAATTTTTGTGGTGCAAATCTGCCTGCTGATCCTGCACGAGCCCAGTTAGGCGGTCCCTAATTGCATTGCGCTTTGGCGGAGGGAAAGTGGTAAATGCGAAGGACAAATATATATTTATGTAGGCCTTAAAAGCTGCAGGGGATAGATCGATAGGTTTTTTTTTTTTTTTTTTAACTTTAAATAAAATTGAGCGTCAATCGCTGGCATGCCCAAAATCCGCCCAACTGCCAGCTACATGCACATATCGCCGGTACTTTGGTAAAACCTAGTATCTCAGAAATGATTCGTATATTCTAAACTAATTCAAAATAGGCCTTAAGATACTACGATTTATTGTATATTATTCTTAATTATCTAAAAAGCACTTAATCTTAAATATTCAGTAAAAAAAAAGTTATTAAAAATTATTTTCTGTTATTGATAGAGAGCTTTATGTTATAGAGTGCTGTGTGGGTGTTTATTTTGAGATACGAAGTTTTGCCAAAGTACCGCAAATATACACACATGCATACGTAACTGCAGGGAAGGGTGTGCTCGCAAGTGCCTGCAAAATGCCTGTAATTGTGGTTGTTCTGGCATGCAACATGCATTGACAGCTGCATTAGTAAAGCTTCACCGCCTGCACGGGCACACAGATGACCTCATATGTATGAAAATATGTACACTAGGGTGACTATAAGTGTACAGAATAGGAGGATCCTACGTGTAATTCTAGCCAAATTTTCCGAAGGAACCATGGGTGTAAAACGGTGATGGGCTGCTTTTTATATATTTTGTATAGTCGCGTTCAGAGTAAACGCTCTCTCTGCCCATCGCTGGTCTAAAATCAATTTGGAGTTTACCAAATGGTGAAAATAGGTTTCGTAGAAAGTTTGAAAGTTTTCACTGTTGTGCCCTCTGGTGGAAGTTTTAAGAAAAAGATAAGTTCCGAAATGGATTTCGCATTCTCAAAAAAAAAAACCCTAATAGCCTGTTTTGATACAAAATTTACGACACTAAAGCAAAATGGTAAGAAATCTATTTTCGCAATTTGGCAAACTCCAAATTGATTTCAGACGCATGGATTCTTCTGCAATTTGCTTAGAATTACACGCAGAATCATTCTGTGCTAAACGCCATAGTCGAAAAAATCTCCCATACAAATTGGCTCGCCCTAATGTACATATATGAAGTCTATATTCAGTGCCCTAAATGTTGTCGGCCATTGAAAGTATATTTCTCTTCGTTACACTCAGACTTTTCTACATTGTTTAAGCTGGGATATCTATGTATATGTATGTAACTACATGTTTGTTCGAGGCAATTTTGGACGCACCGTCACCACTTTAGGATATCCTCTTACCTTCGGGGAAGCAAGCACGAGGAATTTAAATGTCACAGGTGGTGTTCCGCGAGGCTTCGTGCTCGGCCCATTACTATGGAATGTCATGTACGATGGGTGCTGCGCCTTAAAATTCCCAACGGAGCCAAACTAATCGGATTTGCGGACGATATCGCTTTAGTCGTCACTGTTTATCATCTTAGCGAAACTTTCGAAACAGCAAACGAAACTATAGTGTCCATTCTGTCGGGGCTTGTGCAAAATGGACGTCAGCGCGCAAAGCAAAAAAACAGAGTCATTGCTCTAGAGCTACAAAACTATCGATGGTCATGTCCTTCACAATAAAAATCAGCGACCACAACATTACTACGCTACCAGCAGTTAAATACCTGATTATCTTGATAGACAGGAGGAATCCGACCCCTTATGCGACTTCTGTGGAGAAGACGCAATAGAAGACGTCCACTACGTTTTTTTTTTTTGAGTGTGGCGAATTTAACAGCACCGGACGCAAACTTCGCGATATATCTGGCATGAACTAGATACATGCCCACATACTTGGATACATGGAATACATGGGTGGGCAAGTGACGCAATAGCAGAGGCGATGAAGAGGCTAAGGACCTTTCCATCCACGATGTAATGCTTGACGGCGGCCCCGTGGGGTGAGGATTTCGATGAAACAACAGGCTTGTCCTGGTTTCATAGGGCCACTTGAGGGTAGTGGGCTATCACAACGCCCCTTAAAAAAAACATGTTTGTTCGAGGAAGCTTAAAAGAGAAGTAATCCCTGAACCGGGTGCATAAAATATACGGTGTTAAAGCTGGCAATAGCACATCCACTCTGACTTTCATCAAGAAGGAAAGCTGTTACTAGTCCCAAAATCTGGAAAGCCATCAGGATAGTGCCTAATTTATTGGCCCATCTACATATCTAATCTATATAACAATTAATCTATCTTATCTATTTATCCAACCGATTGTCGAAACGTATTGAAATAGAGATCCTTTCTAATGACGGCGTATCGATGAATTGATTCGGTTTCAAAGAGAGAAATCAGTATTCACAGTTGTTCAGCTTACACGAACGGCTATAAAGAATAATCTCTGGCTTGGAGGCACAAACGATTCAGTGCACCTGACCTAAAAAATGCATTGAACATAGAAATTGGGAAACCCGGCTGTGATCGGAGTATCCGACTGCCTTCGAAGGCATGATACCGAACTGCTCTCACTCAAGAAGGCTCTGCTACGACACGGCCTCGGGTCCGTAATTGGCACATTGTTGCGGAGCAGCATGCATGATAGTGTTTATAGAGTTAACCGAAAACTAATCGGCTGGTATAGTCGTAAATTTAATTACTAAACACTACAAAATTAAAAATTTAAATCCATCTATTGAAATCTATAATTAAAGGCTCCGTCCAACCGAAGGGTCAGCGTCTTTTGTAAATTGTGTATTAGACTTCATACTTGTTTCCATAAGAAGTGCTAGCCAAAAGTCACAGGTCGGACTTCTTGTCCGCTAGTGTAAGTGGAGTTTTTTTTTTATTATAAATAAAAAGTCAATCACCCAAATTCTTTGCCTTGTCATTATCAAATACAAATAATTAAAAAAAAAAAATTATAGTAGTGAGAAATATTTTTAAGACATGCCTGGAAAATTAAAATCGTCAGAATTGTGGACATACAGATGTATGGTGAAAATTAAAAGAAAAACAAACTTTGCTGCAAAAAAGCTAAGCTCACTTTTTTCGATATTTTCTAAAAACCCAAAAACCAAAAATAAATGTAGGTTAAACCACAAATTAAGAGACAATAAAAACGCCATCCATCTCCCGAGACTAAATTGAGTAAAAGAAAAATAGACAACATTCTGTTATTCGCTCCAAAAAACGGCGCAATTCTTTTCGATGGCGCTTTCTACATAATGCACATACATATGTATGTGAATATGTACATATGTATATGCGTTACCTTCGCTGGCAAGTTCGTTACATGCTACTGTGTATTTTATTCCAGTTTTGTTTTATTTTTATAATCAAATTGCAATCGATCGAAGCCATTGCGAAAGTGTGTGCCATTTACAGAAATTTCCTGCCAGACGCAATGACGCTGATAGTCACTCTTTCATGCTTGACAGAGCACAAGCAATGTGGGGACACGAAAATGCAAAAATCAGAAAAATACAGCTCCATATTATCAAATGGCTATCTTTAACAGCAGAGTTTAATACGAAAAAAAATCCGATGAAGTCTATTACTTAGAATTTTATTGCAAGTGCTTTAAATGTTACGGTAGCCTTACCAAACAGTACATAAACATACTTACATATGTATGTACATATATACGAGTACAAAAGCAACTTTCATTTCCAACACTTTGCCGCAATTCGACTACAACATTAATTAATAATCTTTTTACTAAAATTGCAAGTATCTTCGAAAGTGTTAGTCCTACATAATTTGTAATTTTTTTGCATAGAATCGAAGTAAGCTAAGAAATTTTTTTTTACCACTTGAACTTTGATGCACTTGGACGAGATATTGAGCAAAAATTGTCATATTTCACACAGATTGCCATATTTTTGCTATTACCAATAAAAATTCTAAAACAGCGGATTTTCGGCCTACGTTAATGTACATATATATGTGTGTACATATGTATATAAAAAAAAAGTAATTTTCTCAAGAACGCTTTTAAACCCTTGGCAATTAAGTTGCCACAAAAAATAAAGCTTAACGAACGCTCAAATGCGGTGCAATGCAATAACATAAAAATAACCGAACCGCAAATTATACGCGCGAAGCAGACGGCCCCGCCATTCACATACATATGT